CAGCCCCTCATCCAGGCTGACCAGGCACCCAAGCGGGACCCCCACTCTGATAGGGGACACCCTTCAGGGCAAACCAGCCGGCCCCCACCCGTGCACCAGGCCTCTATCCTATATAGTAAAAGGGTAATATGCCTCCCAGCACCAGGATCAGCGGAGCCACGAGGCCTCCTGGCCTGGGATCAGTGGAGCAGCGAGGCCTCCTAGCACTGAGATCAGTGGAGCAGCGAGGCCTCCCAGCACTGGAATCAGCAGAGCAGTGAGGCCTCCCAGCACCAGGATCAGTGGAGCAGTGAGGCCTCCCAACACCAGGATCAGCGGAGCTGCAAGGCCTCCTGGCACTGGGATCAACAGAGCCACGAGGCCCCCCAGCACCGGGATCAGCAGAGTAGCGAGGCCTCCTAGCACCGGGATCAGCTGAGCAGCGAAACCTCACTGCCCCGGTGTGAAGCGGAGCCGCAAGGCCTCCCTGCACTGGGATTAGTGGAGCCGCGAGGCCTCCTGGCCCCTGGAGCAGCATGACGGGGGGCAGCACCCAAACCCCCTGATCGCCCTGCGGCTCTGTGTGTGACAGGGAGCAGCGCCCCAACCCCCCAATCGGCCCTACCCTGAGCGTGACTGAGGGTGGCATCTCAACCTCCTGATCTGCCCTGCTCTGTGCATGACAGGGGGCGGCACCCCAACTCCCCAATCAGCCCTGCTCTGAGCCAGACCAGGGGCTGCGGGGCAGGCACCTAGGGATTGGGCCTGCCCTCTGCCACCTGGGAGCGGGCCTAAGCCAGCAGGTCATTATCTCCCGAGGGGTCCCAGACTGTGAGAGGGCACAAGTGGGGCTGAAGGATACTCTCCCCTCCCCTCTAGTTATTCTAATAAAAGACTCATATTATAATTCTAGAGGAAAATAAGTGTTACTCTTCTTCTTCTTGAGTAGACTTTTCCACTGAGATACAGAATCCTAGAGTATTGATTTAATAAGCCAGCTTATTATGGCCACCCACATGCATTTGGGATTTCTCAGAGAGGAACCACTTAATGTTTCCTATGAAAGTTGCTTAACCCAAAGCAGGGACAGCACTTCCTGTAGGGAGTTTGGGGAGGTGCCCCAAAATGCTGCAGCATAGTTGGAGTTGTATCTTAATCTCTTTGGTTGTCCTGCTGAGATGTCCTCCAGACCTTCTGTAGTATGGAGGCAACTGGTGTTACCCTAATAAATAGGGATTTGGTAGTCATGAAAGCTGACCTAGATTTAGGGGTATCAGCTACTAAAGCTTATCAATGGTAGCTGTATATATTTGTGACTGGAAAACCCCAAAGAAAAATATCTCCCTAAACTTTTAAAACACATACTTAAAAAGCCAACTATTGAAATGTACTTATAATATGGTGTTTAACCCTGCCAGTGTTGCTCAGTGGTTAAGCATCAACCTATGAACCAGGAGGTCACGGTTCAATTCCCAGTAGGGGCATATGCCCAGGTTGCAGGCTTGATCCATAACAGGGGGCATGCAGAAGGCAGCCCTCACCACCCCATTGTGTATGTCCACGGGTTTGCATACAAGTTCATTGATTGACCTCTTCCCACCCATCCTCCCCTGCCTTCCCTCTGAGCTTCCAATAGTCTGTTGTTCATGCTTCTATGTCTCTGGGTCTATTTTTAAAAATATATTTTTATTGATTCCAGAGAGGAAGAGAGAAGGAGAGAGAGAAACATCAATGATGAGAGAGAATCATTGATCAGCTGCTTCCTGCATGCTCCACACTGGGGACTGAGCACACACCCAGGCATGTTGCCTTGATCAGAATCAAACCGGGGATCCTGTTGGCCAACACTCTATCCATTGAGCCAGTTCAGATAGCGCTGGGTCTATTTTTGTTCATCAATTTATTTGGTTCTTTAGATTCCACATATGAGTTAGATCATGTGATACTTATCTTTCTTTGACTGACTTATTTCACTTAGCATAATACTCTCCAAGTCCATCCATGCTGTTGCAAATGTTTCTTTCTTTTTTATTGCTGCATAGTATTCCATTGTGTAAATGTACCACTTTTTTTTATCCACTCATCTGCTGATGGGCACTTGGGCAGTTTCCAGATCTTAGCTATTGTAAATTGTGCTGCTATGAGCACAGGGGTGCATATATTCTTTCTGACTAGTGTTTCAAGTTTCTTAAGATATATTACTAGAAGTGGGGCTTTCAGGTGTCTAGAGATTTTTTTGGTTAACATTCAATGCAAAAGTAGTAGATGGTTGAATTTTAAGGGATTCCCCATATGTATACTATCATTTTATCTGACGTAATAAGTAAACTATTATGTTTAAAGTACCTGAATCAGAAAATAAATAAATAAATAAATAAATAAATGAATAATTCCTGTATAGTTTTAACAAATCAGGTGATTCTTATCCACACTTAAACCAGGTCTTCGCTGATTTAACTTCTTTCTCCAATCATTAGGTTCACTTCCTGGACTTCCCTTATTCTTTTTTCTTTGCCCCCTTTTTAATGTTTGAGAATACAGTCTGTTTCATAATATAATTAATACTCCATAATACAAATTAGCTTAATAGTGCTATGAAATAGGGAATGATATCAATATAGTGTTGAAGTTAGTTGGTTACAGGCAATATTCTTGGTTGAATGGAGCCAGAATATTAGTATATTTATAACATTCGGAAGGAAAGGGAAAAGACTTCATTTTGATGTGTTGTTATGAGCCCTTCCACCCCTATATTAAGAAAATTAATAATAAATGCTTACATTCAGGGCTCCCTCCTCAGAGACATATACAATCAACTTGCATAGCTTCTAGCTAGACACCTTGCACTTCACCTGATTCCCACCTTAATGTTGGCCTCACTGGCCTGGGGCTTCATTTTATGTGCAACATTTCAGCACCTGAAATCCAGAATTTCCACTTTATTTTTATGCATTTAAAATTTTTTTTATTGATTTCAGAAGGGAAGGGAGAGGGAGATAGAAACATCAATGGTGAGAGAGAATCATTAATCAGCTGCTTCCTGCACGCCCCCTACTGGGGATTGAGCCCACAACCCAGGCATATGCCCTGACTGGGAATCGATTTATGACCTCCTGGTTCATAAGTCAATGCTCAACCACTGAGCCATGCCAGTGGGGCAATTTTTATGCATTTTAATACCCACAAAATGGCCTTCAGCCATACTGAGTAGCTTTTTGGGACCTTGAGGTCCCTATTATATTACTAGTAGTTAGTGCTCTGCTAATACAGTTGCATAGACTTGAGTGTTCTTCTCCAGCCCTACTTTCTTCATAAACCCTAGCTTTGGTGTGTAAGTTTTCAGGAGTTAGTTTTTTTAGGTACATGTGTAGTATTGTAGCACAAATGCCTATGTTCTAGAGATGTCTAATTCATTCACTTGTAATAGGCATTATTTTAGGTCCCCTTTATTTCACTGTAAAAGGTTTCTTCCTGCTGGAACAGAAAAATAGCATGTGTTTGCTTTCTCCTTTTCTTTCAGATTTGGAATCCAGATACAGGACTAATACGTTATCTTCAGAAAAGGATATTTGTGAAATATATTCATTCCAATTGGAAGTAATGGAAAAAATTAAAAGCTATTGCCTTCAGGACTCCATTTTTAGAAATGATTGGGAATTCAAAAGTAAGATTGAAGGGCAAATGGAACCACAAGAAGGATGTTTGGGGCAAGTGGAAATTACTTCTGAAAAAATGACCACATACAAAAAGCATAACTTTCTCGCTGAATATCAGCGAGTTCATAATAGGGAAAAGTTATATGAATGTAAGGAATGTAGGAAGACCTTTATTCGTCGCTCAACACTTAGTCAACACCTGAGAATTCATACTGGTGAGAAACCTTATAAATGTAAGGAATGTGGGCAGGCTTTTAGACAACGTGCACACCTTATTCGACATCACAAACTGCATACTGGTGAGAAACCCTATCAATGTAAGGAATGTGGGAAGGCCTTTACAGTGCTCCAAGAACTTACTCAACATCAGAGACTCCATACTGGTGAAAAGCCCTATGAATGTAAAGAATGTGGAAAGGCCTTTAGAGTACATCAGCAACTTGCTCGACATCAGAGAATTCACACTGGTGAGAAACCCTATGAATGTAAGGAATGTAGTAAACCCTTTAGACTGCTCTCACAACTTACTCAACATCAGCGTTTTCATACTGGTGAGAAACCCTATGAATGTAAGGAATGTGGGAAGGCCTTTACAGTGCTCCAAGAACTTACTCAACATCAGAGTATTCATACTGGTGAGAAACCCTATGAATGTAAGGAATGTGGGAAGGCCTTTACAGTGCTCCAAGAACTTACTCAACATCAGAGTATTCATACTGGTGAGAAACCTTATGAATGTAAGGAGTGTGGTAAGGCTTTTAGACTTTATTCATTTCTTACTCAACATCAGAGAATTCATACAGGTGAGAAACCCTACAAATGTAAGGAATGTAAGAAGGCCTTTAGACAGCATTCACACCTTACTCAACATCAGAAAATTCATAATGAAATTTAGTACAAGAAAGCCTTGATGTGTACATTATGTTACAGAATATCACAAAATTCATTTTGAGAATTGTTTTCATGCTCACATCAAAGCATAAGAAATTTTATATGACAGGAAAAATTTTGCTTTAAAAGCCTTCCTTTACCATTCAAACATTGCCTCTGGCAAATGTATGTCAGAGAATAATACAATTAATATAAGAAAAGCTTTAGCTTTCTTTATCATTGTCTCCATTTCACCACTTTATTCCCACTTTGTTACTGGACAAGGTACTTAAACTTCTGTGACTCATCTTGTTCACTTGTAAAATGGTGATAATATGTATATTATTTATTGCTGTATAATAAATTACCACAACTTAATTAATAGCTTAAAATAATACATATATATTATTTCACAATTTCTATGGATTGGGAGTCTGGGTATAACTTAGTTGGGTCTTCCGCTTCAGAATTTCTCATGAGGCTAAAATCAAGATTTTAGCTAAGGCTGGGTCTGATCTGAAGGTTCAACTGGGAAAGGGATCTACTTCCAACCTCATATGGTTGTTGGCTGAATTTATTTTCTTGAGGGCTACTGCACTGAGGTCCTAAGTTTCTGACTGTTGGCAAAAGGGAGACCCCAGTGCCTTGCCACATAGACGTCTTCAACATGGCTGCTTCATCAACAAATAGTCTGCTAGAATCATAAAATTTATAATCTTGTGTAGTCTAATCACTGAAGGAATATTTCATCACTTTATGTCTTCTACTGGCTAGAAACAAATTTCTAGGTTACCTACACTCAAGGGAAGAGGATTCCATAAGAGTGTGAAGACCAGGAGGTAGGGACCACTGGGGCCAGTTTAGAGTCAGCCTGTGTACACTGTAATAGAATTGTAAGGATTAAGTAGTTAATACTTGGAAAAATAGCAGCCACATAGCATGTTTTCTGTACATATTATCTGTAACTGTTATCATTAGTATTAGTGAATTCATATGAAAGGAATTTCCTAAAGAAGTAAAAAATTGAGAAATGCTTCCTGTTACTGTTCAGCACTTATTTTAATTTATTCTGGATAAAACCTAGGATGTTATATTGAATGTGAAAAGTTCATCATTTAAGCTGCATCAGAAATTTCATGCTGAAAAGAAAGCCCTAAAATTTTCATGAGTACGACATTGTTAAGAGTACAACTATTGCCCTGACCGGTTTGGCCTGCAGACCTAAGGGTCCCAGGTTTGATTCCAGTCAAGGGCATGTATCTTGGTTGTGGGCACATCCCCAGTAGGGGGCATGCAGAAGGGAGCTGATTGATGTTTCTCTCTCATCGATGTTTCTGATTCTCTATCCCTCTCCCTTTCTCTCTGTAAAACATCAATAAAATATATTTTAAAAAAAGAGTACAACTATTGAAGAATCAAAGAGAAACATGAAATTATTTCCCCATAATAAATTCCTGAAAGTAAAGATTTATTATCTCTATTGTTTAAGCACCATTTAAAATTAATTAGAAACTATCAAAAAGATGTCAAGGAAATAAATCATTTGTAAATGTAATATTGTATGTGCATATTCATGCATGTGTGCTTGTGTGCATAAAACACTTGTATAAAAGAAAACATTTTTTTATAGTCAATATAACTTTTGGTGCTCAAATTGTTCCATCTTCAACCAGTGGAAGTTGGGTCTTTTGAAATGACCCCCCTAGTAGTTATTTTACTTGGTTATGGCTATACAATTCGTCAGCTATGGATGGTGCCTAGGCACTGACTCATCCTAAAAATTGGCAAGGGTTAAATAATTTATTTTGTTTTTCCCTTTTGAACCAAGTTTCACAGCCATCAAAAACTCATCAAATTGATTTTTAAATCTAGTAAATACAGAGAGATTCATAAGATTAGAAAAATGACCACTCTCTAGTTTCCTAATGGAATAATGGATCCAGAAGATAATTGGTAAATATTACAACTATTAAGTGAAAGATTTTATAAGTGAGAATGCTAGAATGGATTTGTCAAGCTGACCACCTCTGAATCTGTTCATCAATTTTATCCTGTATAAAAGTGGGACTATCACACTATTCACCTCCTGAAGGAATGCAATAGGAAGTATGCACCACTACTTATAAAACCTTATTTCCAACATCATGAACTGAAGGAATTAAACCTTTATGTCAAATTATTTTAAATCAAGAATTTGTGGAATAGATGAATAAAATAAATGGCAACATACCCAAGCAGCCAAACAGATTCAGAATGTGTAAAATTCTACAAACACCCTGCTTTCTTCAACGAATGAGTGGCATGGAAAAGAAAGGAAGGGCAACTGTTAGATTAAAAGACACAAGAGATGTATCAACTAAATTTGGTGTGTGGCCATTACTTGGACCTACTTTGAACAAAATGTAAAAAGATTTTGGAGACTGGGGGAAATGTGGACATGCACTGAGTTAATTAGATGATATTTAGAAATAATTTTGTTAAGGATGATCATGTCAATGTGGTTATTAAGAAATAAATATAAGTGCTCCTATGTGTAGAGATACATGTTTATATGTTTATGAAATTACTAGAGGCCCGTTGCATAAAAATTCATGTACATGGGTGGGTCCTTCAGCCCAGTCTGCACCCTCTCACAGTCTGGGACCCTTGGGGAGCTTAGGCCTGCTCCCCAAGAACAAATGATCTAAAAGAAATAATCATAACTTTGGGTAAGAATTTTTTAAAAAGGTAATGTTTGCATGAAAATTCACTGCTGGCGGGGCTGAGGGGACTAGGGGCTCTGGCAGCAGGTGTGTGGAGTGGCCGGACCCGCCTGGGGGCGGGCCCAGCTGCACTGTGCACCTGATGGTCCCCCCTGCGACCCCCCCCCCCACAGTGCTGAAGAGACTGGGCACCACCATATTGTGGTTGTGGGTGCCGCCATCTTTGTGAGGGCATGATGGTCAATTAGCATATTACCTCTTTATTATATAGGATAAGATATCCAGATTTACATTAAAATACTCCAACAATAGAAAAAGAATGAAAGAGAACTGGAAAGTAGGTTGACAAAATGTTGATAATTAATTAAGTGGAGTGGTTTGTTTATGGGGGTTCATAATAATATTTCTACTGTTTGTTTTTAAAGGTTTTAATAAAAATATTTAATATCAAAACTGAAATTATAGACTACTTAGAAATTATTGTTAATGAGATGCCTGTATATGTAAACTTCTCAGATATCACCAAAGTTCTATTCAGGAAGAAATGAATATCCTTTAATAAGTTAAGAAAACTGGACAGTTTTGATCTTTTTCACTTATCCACAGCAGTCAAATCTGGATCTGTCACATCCATAAATGTGATTAAGGAATGAAAAAGCATTTATGTCAAGACATCAGAAACAGAAGAAAACAAAACCAACACCAGGGAAGTAAAGTACCTTTAAAAAATAGAAATTAAGAGACTAGACAATATAATAGACTTAATTGAATGTTTTTTAAAGTTTTTTTCAATTACAATTGACATTCAATATTATATTAGTTTCAGGTGTACAGCATAGTGGTTAGACATTTATATGACTTAAGAAGTGATCCCTCAATAAGGCTTAGTTCCCACCTGTCATCACACATAATTATTACAATATTAGAAGCCCGGTGCATGAAATTCATGCACTGGAAGAGGATTGTCCCTCAGCCCAGCCTGCACTCTCTATAATCTGGAACCCCTTGGGGGACATCCCTCTCACAATCCGGGACTGCTGGCTCCTAACCACTAGCCTGCCTGCCTGCCTGATTGCCCCTAACCACATCTGCCTGCCAACCTGATGACCCCTTAACAGCTCCCCTACTAGCCTGATTGACACCTAAATGTTCCCCTGCTGGCCCAATCACCCCCAACTGCCCTCCCCTGCTGGCCTGATTGCCCCAAACTGCCCTCCCCTGCCGGCCATCTTGTGACAATGTGAGGGAGGGCATCGTGTGATGACATGGGGGCAGCCATCTTGTGATGCGAGGGCATGAGGGTCAATTTGCATATAACCTCTATTATATAGGATTACTGACTATTTTTCTTTATTTTCTTGTTTAAAGTATTACAATTGTAGTACATATGTCTCCTTTTTCCCCCATTGACCTTCCCTCGGCCTCTCCTACCCCCCAGCACATGCCCTTACCCGCCCCCCCCCCAGTGTCTTGTGTCCATTGGTTATGCTTATATGCATGCATATAAGTCCTTTGATTGATCTCTTACCACCCCCCCCCAACACTCCCCAGCCTACCTGCTGTAATTTGACAGTCTGTTCGATGCTTCTCTGCCTCTATATCTTTTTGGTCATTAGGTTATAATGTTCTTCATTACCCATAAATGAGTGAGGTCATGCAGTATTTTTCTTTCACTGACTGGCTTATTTCACTTAGCATAATGCTCTCCAGTTCCATCCATGCTGCTGCAAATGGTAAGAATTCCTTCTTTTTTTATAGCAGTGTAGTATTCCATTGCGTAGATCTACCATAGTTTTTTAATCCATTCACCTGCTGATGGGCATTTAGGCTGTTTCCAAATCTTAGCTATTGTAAACTGTACTGCTATGAACATAGGGGTGCAAATATCCTTTCTGATTGGTGTTTCTAGTTTCTTGGGATATACTCCTAGAAGTGGTATCACTGGGTCAAATGGCATTTCCATTTTTAAATTTTTGAGGAAACACATACTGTTTCCCACAGTGGCTGTACCAGTTTGCATTCCCACCAGTAGTGTACAAGGGTTCTTTTTTCTCTGCATCCTTGCTAGCACTTTTCGTTTGTTGATTTGTTGAAGATAGCCATTCTGACAGGTGTGAGATCATACTGCATTGTTATTTTGATTTGCATATC